TAATTTTTATTATTATATATTGCAGAATTGGGGTTCAGTGTAGAGAGAGGAAAAAGTGAGGAAAAATTATAAATGGAAAGGGAAATTGTCGTTTTGAACAGGAATAGCATGAATAAAGTCTAGACTCTTCATAGTTGAAGAACTGAATAGTTTCTCTCAGACTATATATCAGGAGTAGCTGTTAACTCTCAAACGAATGAGCTGTGTTGACTTTGCTGTTTTAGGGTTAATTTGTGTTGTTAGTCCCCGATTTTATTCTCCTAATCCTGTATGTCTTCAACTCTGTCATCAAGTCGAGCCTATGATTTTTTTCTTTTAAAAAATTATATATACCAGATGTAAGAGCGTAACTGTCCACCCCCACCCAAAAAAAACCCACTAAAGTTACTTTTTTTCCAGGTTTTCAGATAAGACATTTAACCATCTGAACACTATTTATCGTAAAAATTACCCAAAAACCCTTTGAATTTTTCGGCTAGAAAGAGAACAGATTAAAATCGTTGTCTCATCCCCACTGTCTTCCCAAATGAACAATGGTGAGAGAAAAAATATAATTCAGGCCTTCAATAATAGTACCAAAATTTATAATCTGACTTCCATCTTCAAAGTCCATTCAAGAACCAACAAGAAAACAGTGAATAGGTTTTAAAAAGATGGAACAAAAGAGAAGAAAACTGGATCAGGAGGTTACAACAGCAAGAGGGACCATCGTTTCAGCTAAAGAGCTAGAGATATAAAACCCAAATCAATCCATAAGACGTTTGGCACGTGAGAGAGAGGAGTCTCTGCTATGACAGTCGAAAGAACAGTGAAAAAAAGACTTGAAAATGAAATCGTATGTGAAACATTGTTACTCCAAGATAGAAAATTAGAAGGCTAGAGAAGACTTCAGATCAAAGCAAAGATTAATTAATGAACGTGTCATTTTCGTTTATGATCGATTTCATCATAATTCTTCTGTTTTCGCTTGGAGAGTAATTATAGATTCTTATTGCTCAATGTAGAATCCAATACTGTTCTAAAAACCTCGTAGTATTCCAATAAGTTATGTTTAATCATTTCTAAGATACAACGGTTCAAAGCTTAATCTAACAATTTGTTTGACGATTTGGACAATTTTGCTGCCACACCTGTTTTACATACACACACACACTAATATATATATATATATATATATATATATATATATATATACTGTTGATATAATAGTTTACTTTCCTATTTTACCCCATTAAGTCTCGGCAGGTATCGCCATTACTTAAAAATTAACTTTAATCGGAATCATACGTACTTTTCAGACGTGTAAATTACAGTCCTACAGTTAAACTGATAATTCCCCCTGTATTTTTTCTCTTAAAGAGATTTCGTCGACACCACTCTTGCATGGAAGATAAGTTTGGTTTTTTCCCAAATTGTCGCCGACTAAACTGACAACCGCCGATTTCCTTGCATTTTGTCTGGCACGAGGAAAGTGCTTAGTAAACTTTTAAGTTGAAAAATAAGACCTATCGAAGTGGAGGGAGAACTGTAAATGAGTCAAAGGACAGTTGACTAGTGTGTAGAAGGCAACGGAAAGCCCCTCCACTACATACCCCCAAAAATAACCATGGCAACGGACAGTGTAAATATTAATAATAATGGAATTTATGGGGTTGTCTACTGGAGATAACTCCTCTCCCGATAAGGGGAGACAGTTGTCACCTGACTTTCATTCAGTGACTGTTCATAGAATAAATATAAATAATAATGGTGTAAAAGGTGTAGTTTATCAGGAACAACTCCACAGTCGGTAATGAGCGACAGGTGTCAACGGATCCTCATCCAGCGACAAAATATTGTAATCGGGACATGGAATTTCAGGACGATATACCAATGTAGCCAGCTTTCAAACATCAAACAAAAGATGGGTATAATGAATATCAACATTCTAGACGTGTGCAAATCCATCTAGGCAAATAGTGGGGACTTCAAAGGCGACACAAACAGTGTAATACAGGTAGACAGAGTGAAAAAATGAAAGATGTGTAGGCTTAATGTAAGATAATGACTTGAAGAAATATGTTCTGGGATACTGAAAAGTCTTAGACAGTATTCTCTTAGCTAAACTAAAAGAGAAGCCCTGTAACATAGGTATTATCATTGTATACGTACCGACAGCACACAGCATGGAGGAAGAAATCGATAAAGTTTGCACCTCCTTCGACAATACCAAGGCCCTACGTAAATCGCAAGAAATCACTACCATCATTGGAGATCCGAATACAAAGGTAAGAAATGAACGAGAAAACGAAAAGAAGAAATTTGAATTAGGTTCCTGAAATGAGCACGGCGGAAGATGGGTCCAGTGGTGCACATAAAAACAATCAAGTAATCACCAACACTCACAACGCCTCGGAGGAAATATAAAGAACCAGAGTTTGACATCAATACAATCACAGAAGTAATAAATGAAGTATAAAACAGTGGTTACATACAAGAGGACCTCACTAAACCCAACGTAACATTACCTAAAGACCAGGTACAAACGAATGCAAACTCCATAGGATAATCAGTTTAATGAACAACTAATGACATGAATCCTGATGAATAGAGCGTGAAGCGGGATTAGACCGGAAATAGGACACTAACAGCGTGGCTTTGTCAAGGACATCGGAGCAAGAAATGCAATATTCGTGATCAGAATGATATCAAAGAAATCGATTCTGATGCAGAGGCATGTGTACTTATGTTTTCTCGATTACGCAAAAGCATTTTTCCGTACAAGGATCTATTTGAACTGCTAGTAAAACTAGATCTATTAGAAAAATATGTTAGAATAATCTAGAACTTATACTGGGAGCAAACCGCCTACATATGGGTAGAAAATGAATTGAGCCACTGCACAAAAATAGAAAGGGGCATGAAACAAGGATGTCTTATCACCAGATTTATTCAACCCTACAGCGATGTTGTGCCCAGGGAACTGGAGACCCTACTAGGGTTTATTATCGGCAGGCATAATCGTAACAATATAAGATACACAGATGACACTGTGTTGATGGCCGATTCGGAAAGGAAACTCTAGGACCTCCTAGACAGGATAGTAGAAGAAAGTGAGAAAAATGAGCAATCATTAACGACAAAAAAATGGAAAATATGGCAATCAGAAAGAGAAAAAGTCTAAGATGCGATTTATGAATTGGAGATACAAACATCAGACAGGTGGATAAGTTCAAATATCTGGGAAGTGTTTTAACAGAGGATGGAAAATGTGACAGCTGAATCCGAACCTAGCATTAACATAGCGAAAGAAGCATTCCAAAAGCTAAGTAAGGTATTGAGAAACTGAAAATTTTCGTAAGAAACAGAGATAAGAATAATGGAATGTTATGCGCTATCCATCCTCTTATATGACGGTGAATATTGGACAAGTTCCCCACGGATGAGGAAAAACCGGCGGAAATGTTGATCTACAGAAGAATACTGAAAATTCCACTGACGGAGCAAGTAAGCAACAAGGGAGTCTAAACGATAATAGATACAGAAAGAATCCTCAAAATCAGGAAAAGGCAGCTGAAATTTCTTAGACAAATAATAAAGAAGAAGGGCTTAGAGAACTTAACCCTTATGGGTCCAGAGATATAGGGGAAGACTGCGATGAGCTTTTGCAAATGAATTCCGGAACTGGGTGGGGGAGGCTTAACAAAGGGAAGAAAACTGCTAACAGCTCTTCGAGGTAGGCGGCCATGAATTTCGACAACTTTCTACATCCTGAAGGGGACACGACACGTAGAATAATATATAAAAAATCTTATGTCACTATTTTCTCTTCGAGTTACATGTACTATCCATTTTACTTATAAGAACAATATCAGTGAAGAAAGTAATCAATTCACGCGTATTTCTTTTCCTTTTACCCAACCGTATGATCCTAAATATAGAAGATTAAATTAATGGTAAGTTGTGAGAATGCACATATGAGTAATTTCGGCTCTTCTGAGGTATATATTTGAAAAGGATTTTCGTGTCAAATTAAGTTATGATTGGGCGTGTGGGTGTGTGTTTGAATTGTTGAGCTTACAAATCTCTCTTCTAAAACATTCTATGGAAACAGTTGCTTGACTTTGAAAAAGAATATTTGAAATTCTTGCTTTTCTATAAAACTTCAGTGTTACATATAGTTAACGTTCAATCAGAAAAGCTGATTCATAAATAGAAAGGCAAACACAATTACACTGAAATCAGTTCACAGAAAGGAATTGGCTGAGATAACCACACTTCTATTTAATTAGTTGTGCATGATGAGACCTGGTTTTAAGAAGATAAAGCTTACGTTTAATACACCTAACTTAGATTCTGTCATATTAACGTCATCTTTTTTTTTCCTGGGACAGTATTTTTTGACGCTACAAGCAGCTAGTCCTCTGTCTCTCTTGTAGTTTTCGTTTCCGCATCATGAGTTTCCGATTGAGACAGCGCAGTTTGTCTGCAGGTTCGACAGACTTCATCACATAGTTCAGCTGAACGACAAACACGAAAATGAAAAGCATTGCAATGCGTGAGGTAAGAATAAAAGAATTGTAACATGGCGAATTAAATACGGAGATATAGCGAGCTTTTATGCGGTGAATGGCGAGAAAATGTTGTCATCACAATTGCAACTCGAAAAAGTATTTTGATGAGATGCTTCTCAAGATGAGGCAGAAATAGAGAGAAAATCTATGGCGGAAGAAGTATGTGTAACGGGAAGAAGAGAAGAGAAATTGTGGAAGTGGACGAAAACGAGCGTGAAAAAGAATAATAATAGATTGCTAAGAATGGAAAAATAAAAAGGATAGAATGATAGGTATTTAATAAGCTTAATCTGGCACAAGGCCAACAGTATGGAGCACAAACTGAGGGCCAGTCGTAAGACTTAGATTAGTTCAGCAACCGTTATCCAGTTGTGAGGCGCCACAGAAATGCAATACATTTGAGCGGAGAGAAAATGGTTGAGAATTAAGACGGAAGAATATAGAAAATTAGAAAGAAGATTTGTATGAAGAAGAATAAAAATTAAATTTAGATGAAATGGAAAATGGTTTAAGGTTGAACTTTGAAGAATAAGAGGGATTAATGACGAAAATAAAGACTATACAGAAAGAAAGTGAGAAGAAATACCTGTGGGAATAAATTGGATAAAAGAGAATGATGGCAAGGAAATGGGAAATGGTGAAGGGAAAGAGAAAATGAGGAAAAAGACAAGACAAATGATGAATAAGAGAAAATGAAGCACAAACGTGATAAATTATATGAAAAATGGGAAATGAAAAAATCGAGAAATATGAAGAGAGGAAATGAAGAAAAAATCCAGAAATGACATGAAAATTAAAATAATAAATGAAAAATATAGAAATGAAAAAGAGACGAAAGAATAAAAGAAAAGAGGAGTGAGATAAAAGATGAGAAATGACATGAAGGTAGGAAGTGAAAGAAAGAAATGAAAAAGGAAACAAAGAAATAGAGAAGAAAGGACATGAAAAGTTGAAATGGAAAAAGACAAAAGTCAATTTGGAAAGATGGAATGAAGGCAAAGACGCTAATTGATATGAAAATCGGAAATAATGGAAGAGGAGAAAGAATTGAAATGGGGACATAAAAAAAATAGGCGAAAAAGTTTATGAAAAGAAGGATAGGAAATGAAGAAAGGCATGCAAAAAAAAAGGAGACAAAGAAATAGTTAAAAGCGTCGATGGAGAAATGACGAGATTCGAATAGATGCAAAGTAAGAGAGAAGACAACAGACAAGATCAGGTTAGAATGACTGTTAAGCTGAGAAGTAAATGCATGCGTGTGGGATTTTGTTAAAATGGAGAAGTTGGAAGATTTGTTCGACTATAGTATTTTTTGTTCGTGATTATATCGAGTGAATGACGCAGTGATCAGAGGATAATCATTAAGCAGTCACACACAGTTAGCAGTGCTAAAATAGCAAGATAAATGGGTAAAGGTTTATAAAGAACTGAAGAAGATTCGTGATGGAGGAGATAAAAATTTGCCAAGAAAAAAAAAACAATAGTTTCGGCAGAGAGACAGGCTGGCGGGCATAAAGACAAATCTGCAGAAAGGCGGGAAAGGAAAAAAAAGAGATACAAATAGAAAATTAAAACTTTTAAAAATATAAGTGAATGAAAAACAAATCCAGAACAATAGGTACAATTACCATTAAGTTAAAAAAATAGATAAAATGGCGAGTTTAAGAAGAAAGTTTCTGCATATTTACATTTGCTGAAACGTTTCAATTTGTTAAATTTAAAGCAATCGTACTTGAGAATTTGTAAGAACGAATACGGAACAGTCGATAAAATTAAAACGATTGAAATAGAAACTAGCTTCACAAATAAATAACTTTTATGTGAGCGTATAATATAATGTGTATGTGTTTGTTAAAATATAGTTTTAAGTTATATATTTATGGATAAAAGTGCCTAATATTAGGGATAGCGCGTATGATAGTGGACATCGAGTTCAACACCAAGTGGAAACTGTCTGTTTTTCATGCTTGAACGCAATCTTCAGACCAATCTTCATTTACCTATATATATATATATATATATATATATATATATATATATATATATATATATATATATATATATGAGTGCTACCAAGTAGAACACAGTCTGAAAGATTGCGTTCAAGCAGGAAACAGTCCACACATGGTTTTCATTCCGAATTTCGTCACTCACAAATATATATATATATATATATATATATATATATATTTGTGTGTGTGTGTGTATATATGTGTTTTTTTTCTTTGACAGCAACAATTTACTTGAATCGATTGACAAACTTGTTTAATATCATTACATTTTCCAAGTTCGTGTATAAGTTGTTGCACGTCCAGATAAAATTTATGAAAAGTTTTGGAATGTTTCTGCAGAAATTGGATTCCGATGTACGAATGTCTATACTTTTTAGTAACAAATACCAGTGCTTTCTGTAATAGTCGTGCCGGTGGGATTTTTCCAACATTAGAAATAAAATAGCCAGTTAAAATAAACGTTCCGCTTGGAAAATTTATATAAGTATAACAAAAGTGCGAGTTGGGATAATTATGCCAGGAAGTTGAACGAGATAATTTAATTATGTTGGCAGTTGTTTTTGGTAGAGAATTTTGAAAAAGAGAATAAAAGTATTAGGCAAAGCTTGTCAACCGAGTTCAATAAATGTGTGAAAAATATATCTATAATTACAATAAATCACTTAGGTTTTTTTTATCCAATCTTCAACATTGTTAACTGAGTTTATTTTCATATTATATTACCTCTCTCTCTCTCTACATATATATATATATATATATATATATATATATATAATGACAAATTTTCATGTGATGCGTTTCGTCACTTAGGATTTCATTGGACTAGATTTGCTTACGTTGATGGGACTCTAGTCTAGACAAACGTAGTCCGATGAAGTCCTAAGGGACGAAACGCGTCACATGAAAACTTTTTCCACTCTATCATACATCTTTCCTCCAAAACTATTGATATATAAATATATAGTTATCCTATACATACATATATATATATATATATATATATATATTCACACACACACACACGATATGTATATGTGTATGTATTATATAAATGCATCTTTGTAATGAACACGCATGTATATTACAGGTGTAAGGTATATACGTATATCATTAATTCCATAACGATGAGAAATCATTTATTTTATAGAATATACTACATAATCCCCGTCTTTATCAATGCACTTATTTCTGTGCTTTATATTAATCACTTAACTTTAGATTATAGTGGAATCTTCATGACAGAATTCAGTTAATAATTACATGTACAACCGACATATAGCGATGTGATTATACATATATATTTGTATATCAGGATCGATATTGTGGATGAAACACATAAGAAACATGAATTTCGGACAGTTTAACCAAAATTTCGATCTCGATATACCTCTCATTCATAAAATAGAAAAAATTCAATTAAAGATTAAATAGATCTTGTTGGTCGAATTTAGCAAATCTTGTCTAAACGTATCTTAGATAGTTTAACCATGGCGTAAGTAATGACACTACATTTTAATTCGTTACTATTTTAGATAGTTTTCAGATGAGTTTTATAATTTATACATGAATCAGTATATAACGACGCCCAGTGGGCTACGCCATTGATCTACACTTCTTACCTGCGACTATGACGCGTACCAGTCGATTACTGCTACCGTATTCTACTTGCTTATAGTAGCCAAACCACTTAGCTACTTCGTTCAAATATATCCCTTTCCGGGACATATCAAATAACTAGACTACCGGCGTGTTTGTTTTAATCAAAAGTGAAATTTCTGGCAATGTAGAAAGTTTCAACATTATATGTAAGAGAATAAATAATATTCAGATTATGCAAATAAACTAACATTCAACTGTATGCACCAACTTCGAAAACTTCTGTACTGAATTTTAATAGTTTTATGTCAACATCATTAACATAACTGAACAGAAAACATTACAACATTTTATAGAAAACTTCAACGTAAAAGTAGAAAAAAGAAGAAGAATCTTTTTTAATCATTTCATCGCTAGCAGGGCGATAACGCCACCAAGACGGAAGCGGTTATTAGAAGTGAAAGAAAAAGATTTAGTGAATAGAAAGGACAATAAAATAACAGGATTAAAAAAAACAGAAGATGGCGACCAAGGCTACTTTTAAATTTTTGAATCACTTAGGTGGCAGGTAAACAAAAAGGAATCGGAAAAGTTCCACAGGCAAATAGCGCATAAAAAATAAACTATTAGGATATAACTTACGGTTACATCTACTCCATCTCTTAGTATGGTTAAATTTATTCAATTTAGGTAACAAGGAGGATAACTCATAAGAACAATTCCTATGAAAATATTTGTACAAAAGACGGTGGTCGAAATGTGACTGAAGTTGTGTTGCCTGGTTAAGACAGATAACATTATAAAATGTCCTGTGGATTTTGTTGAGAATCTCGAAGTACACAGCAGCAGCAATAGAGTAGATCCTCAATGCACGAACTAATGGTAAATTTAGGAAAATTTGGAACAGGAAAAAGAACAGAAAGAAAATGTTAAAGTTTTCAGAATAGTGCCCAATGACAATTATGGATATATTTTTAAAAGGTGAAAAGGAGCGTAAATGGACTTCGAAAAGTCTAAATAGGAAGAACGACATTGCTTTCATAACTGCTGTCAAAACCAGAAGTGTTAAAAATATAACATAACAAAGCTAATAGGGGAAGCGATCATAGAATAGTAACACGCACGTTAAATGTAATTTCAAGATTGAGAGAAAGAAAATGACTGAGAAATAAAACGTATCTTAAAGTCAGAGAGAACATTACTGAATTTCATATGAATTCAAGAAGAGCGTCTATGCTTTCAAGAATATTGGAAATAACATAAAAATATGAATATCAAGGTGGTAACAATAATTAAGGAAGCAGCAGATATCACCGAAAAAAATAGTAATAACGAAGGGAAATATCGCTATTCAAAACTAGAACCGATAAAAAGCGTAGAACTACAATTATAAATACGAAGCAAGATGAAAGTGAAAATGCAGAATTGCACAAACGCACCAAGAGAAAAAAAAAAACAGAAGAAACTAGCAGAAAATATAAAAGCTTGAAAAACACTCAATCCGAAAGGACTTAAGGATAACGTGGCAAGGATTTATCAAAAACAGAATGAAAGACATTTTGCTTAGATGCTTAAAGTGTAAAATGTATCATGAATGTAAAATCCTAAACATGCTGTACTGTGTGAAATAAGAGAACTATTATTTATAGACAAATTTAGAAAGGCAAAAAGGTCAGAGGAAAGCATAATATTCGGGATATAACTCAGAGATAGAAAGCGTTCAGCATGGATAAAACAACAGACTAAGATAATAAATATCACAAAAGTGCTTAAAGAATCAAAACGGAAGTGCACACGACTTATAGCAAAAAAAGATTTGATAACAAATGGAGTAAAAGGTTTCTTACTTGGTGGTTCATGTGCACACAGCATTGCTCTGCTGTCTTTTTAGCTATTCTCGGATTTTCTTTCTCTTCTTATTCTCGCTCACTTTTTTCGGTTGACTCTTTTTAATCTCATGCTCTCTTATTTACTGTTTCTCTCTCCGTAACTTTTTCTCTCTTTACCCATTTATAACTCTCCTTTTCACACACTCGTTTTCTCTTTTTTGTTCTCAATCTCTCTTTTTCTGTTCACTCACTCTCTGTACTTATATATATATATATATATATATATATATATATATATATATATATAAAATGAGAACAAATAGAATCCAATTTCGACGTTCGTAATACACATCGAAACATGATTGCATTTGTGTAGCGTTTTCACATGTTTCTGATGTAATATCTTTTTTTGCTCTCTTTTCTCAAATTGTGTGCCTTTTTTACGTTGGTGTTTTTTTTTTTTTGTTTGTTTTGTTTTTTTTTCACTGTTTACCTTTTTTCGTATTACTTTTGTTCTTATTCTTTCATATCCTCCTCTTCATTCATCCACAGTTTCTTTATCGCTTTTTTTAGTTTTTCTCGCCTGTCCCTTTTTCGCATTTTCCAGAGAATCACATTTTCTCTT